TTTCTTCATGCCTTTGGTGATGTTAATGAAAAATTATTTAGACTAAGCAAATGATCTATAATCACAACGGATTCCTTTGAATTACTCGATGAAGACGGTTTCAGTTGATCTTACTGAATGTGAGTGGGGAGTATATTTTCACATTAAATTCGATCTATATATGTTGTAGATTTATTAACCGACAAACATAAATATACAATTATACATATGTTAATTCGATATCTATATTATCAAATTATCAATAATAATAAGATAGAATTGCAAGTTTAGCCAAATACAATAATTATTTTATGGAAAATAGCCAAAAAAAACCCAAATTACAAAATTAGCCCTTAAAATCGCAAATGGATTAAGTCCATCTGCGATTTCGCATTTCCATTTGCGAACGTACAAGTGCCTAAATCACATATATGCTTTAAGCACTTGTACGTTCATAGATGGAAGAGTCCATCTGCGATTTTGTACATTCCATCTGCGATTTCGTAAAAACCCATTTTTTTCACTATTTTTTTATAGAAACTCTATCTCTTATATATGAGTTGACAATTCTATTCTATTTTGTGCAGCTATTGGTTGGATTTGGACTTTACTTGATGCATGTTTAATTAGATCGTGCATTCCATTTTTACTATGAACAATACCACTTAAAGTGAAACAACTCCTTTCCCTTTTTTCTACAAATTACAATTAAAAACTAATAAATTATTCTTAACTATCATATTCATAACATATTCAACCAACAAAAATAAATAGAGTCCAGATACAGAAAGTTAAAAGTTCACTAGAGATTAATTTTAAACAATAGAACGGTTTAACTAATAATTAGATTAAGAGTTAAGTCAAAAAACAAGTGAGGTCGGTCGATGAGCCGTAACTCAACTGGGATGGGACTGGAAACAATATTTTGTGGCCGTGATTGTTGACCATCTTACTGCTTTGCTTCGTACACTTAGAAACAAACTTATAATTTTTGTTTTCTACACAATAAAAATAAAAATAAAAACAATAACATATCTTTTAACAAATTTTCCAAAGAAATTACAACAAAAATGATAATTTTTTGAAAAAGTTTATATATAATAAGGTTGTTTCGTAGTCAAAGCCTATCAATTTCGTAATCAAAATTAAGAAACAAAAAAAATCACTAAATCGCAGGTGAACAGAGATGAAATCGCAGATGGACTATGTCCATCTAGGATTTTAGGCTGAAAAAGCGGTATATATACAGCAAAAAATAAAAAATAAAATAAATAAATAAATAAAACATTTGCGAACGTACAAGTGGCTAAAGCATGTCTGTGCTTTAGCTACTTGTACCTTCACAGATGGCATAGCGAAATTGCAGATGGATTATACCCATCTGCGATTTTAGTGGCTAAAAATGCAATTTTGTTTTGTTTTTTTTGGGCTATTTTCCACAAAGTAATTAGTGCATTTGGCTAAATTTGTAATTTTCTCTAATAATAAATGTGATAATCCTTTTCATAAATAATTAATGTTTTTTAGAAAATCCCACTTTATACTCGATTGTATATTTGTATTTTAGATAAATTCCTTGTAATTGGGATCTCGTTGTATTTTTGTGTATATGAATCGTATTAATGGAATGATTTTATGGTATGAGAGCTCCTTCTTCTTATGCCGACTTCTGCGCCGTCCTTCTCTTCTTCCCCTCACACCTGCAATAGTAATCGATCTCTTCTTCTTCCTCTTATTTGTCAAGAAGAATGAAACAAGTAGCGCATAACTCAAAAGCTCCATTCCACTAACCCTAGATCAAAAGACAAAATTCCTCTATTAGGTGGAAATCGACACTTTATGCCAAAAATGTTTGGATCCGCACTCATGGTTTAACGATTTCCATTTTTTTGCTATTTATAGTCCAAATGTTTTTATTTTTTTTGCTACTTAGATTTATTTTGGTTTAAATTTTCTTAAAATAACGGTTTTACCCTTTGTATTTTCATTTTCTATTTTTTATTTAATATAACATTTTTGTAAATTAAAAAAATATATATAAGAAATTGCCTCTCTCTCTCACACACACACACCACAACCACAACCAATAAGCCTACCACCGTCAATCAGACCACCAAACTCACTGTCGATGTCAGAACCCTAGAATTTTCCGTCGACAGCGGCGTAACTTCATCTCTCTCCGTTCTTGCTTCACCCCTTCACTACGAACAGATCCTCGGACCTCCCTTCTCATCTAGACATTGGACTTCTCTTTCATAGATCGGATGCATCAAAACTCACAAGGGTTTCACAACGAAGGGCGGTGGCGATATGAGGCAGAAGATCAATTAGGGTTTTATAAGCGACGATGGTGATATGAGGCAGAAGATCGATTTACGTTTGTGAAGGTTTGAAGTGAGAACGGACGGAGCGAGTTTGTAGCTCCAATCTTCGATCAACAATTATGTCTCTCTTCGTCTCTCACGTATTTTTCAAAAAAAAAAGGGATTTTTTATATTTTATTTATTTATTTTTTATATTTTTTTTAGTTAATTCAAGTTCCGAAAATAATATTTAAAAAAAAGAATTTTTGGATTTTTCAATTTATTTTGCATTTTAAAATTATTTTTAGATTTGGTCTCACAGTCTTACAAAATTAGAATGGTCTCAAATGAACCTAAACCTACATATATATATATATATATATATATATATATATATATATATATATATATATATATATATATATATATATATATATATATAACCGCCAATTCCTCATCAAAACTCTTATTTTATTCACTTTATTTGGATACTTAATTTCTCACTTATGGAATACCCCAGCCTTAAAATCCTGAATGTTACCACCCACTTACATGGTCGAGTAAGGAGGTGTTTGGGAGTGCCTTCTGAACTAGAAAAGTGTTTTTAGATAAAAATATTTATTTGTTTATAGTGATGGTAAAATAAGTTTTTTAAAAAAGTATTTGGATAATCTTTTATAGTGAAAAAGCTAATAAGTTTATTTTGGTTGAAAACCCATAAACCGTTTCAAAAAACCACGTTTTACATGTTTATTAAAAAGTGTTTATTGAAGCTTATGAAAAAACTATTCTGAAAAGTGCTTTTGAGTTTGCCAAACAATTTTTTTTTTTTTTTTGACTTATTAACTTTTCAAAAAGCCAATAAGCACTTTTCAAATGCAATCCCAAACACCCCCCAAATGTGTAAAAAAAAAAATGAAATTGATGTAGAATTACAACTTTAGACCTTCAACCCATTTAAAGAAATTGATGTAGAATTACAACTTTAGACCTTCAACCCATTTAAATGAAGCTTATATGTTCACTAAAACCAACAGACTAGTCCTCTTTTGAAATTATCAGATTTTGACAACAAATACTAGGGGTGAGCATTTGGACCGAACCGGACCGGACCGACTCTTGGACCGGACCGGTTAGGGAGAAAATCGTGGACCATGGACCGGACCGGATGCATCGTGTCCGTGTCCGTGTCCGTGTCCGGGTTTTCCGGTTTTTGGACACGTTTGGACCGGTACCACTTTAGTTGCGTAAAATTTAAGTAATCTACATTGATGTAAAATATTATAACTTGCAAACTTAATTTTCCAAATAAAAACAACTAACATATATTTCAAGTTCACCAACAAAAGTTAACAATTTAAACACAAACATACAAAAATAATACCATAGCAACAAAAAACATAGTTTAAAGTTTAAACTTTAAAAGCAATCAAAACAACAAAATTCATAAACTCGTAATCTAATCTTCCATTGGCTTCTTCCCCTTATCATTGTCATCAATATGTAATATATTTAAAGCTTGTGCAATCTCTACATAAACACAAATGAAAATGTTGTTAGTATTTAATAAAAAGTAATATTGTATAAAAAAAGAACAAAGCTTGTAATTTTTTTTTACCCAAAGCTATATCATCATCGTTCAAGATGTCATCAACGTTGTCAATTATCGGATTTGTAGTTTTTCTCACCCAATCTTGGGTGCATAACAAAGCTTCAACTATCAACGTCGATAAACTAGTCCGATACTCACTTACAACTCTACCACATGTGCTAAACGCGGACTCGGACGCTACACTTGAGATTTGTATCGCCAATATATCTAACAACAAAGAATTAAATTGTAATAACATTAAGTTATAAATAAATTATGAAAGTATAAAAAAAAAGTAATCACCTTTCGCCATCCGAGCAATTGTTGGGAACCTAATTGCGTTTACTCTCCACCACCCGAGAATTGAGAAATCTTTTTTATAATTAACTATATTCTCTTTCAAATAAGTTCGTAACTCGTTATCCGTTGGATCCGAGTTGCTACCTCCCGTACAAAGAAAATCACCGAAAAAATCATTATCATCATCAACATCAATGGCTATTTGACTCGCTTCTTGTTGAGATGATCCACCGCTGTCAAATCGTTCCAAGTAGGTCATAAATAAATTTTCCATCCTATTCTCAACCTCTCGGACCATTTGACTTGCTTTTATGTCTATGCTCGGGGGTCAATGATGGTTCCATGTACCCGATCATTTTTTTAAAAGCATGTAACAAAAAAGGTGATTTGGTGGTAGGATCAAGTAAAACCGCAAAGTACATAAAATCATTCATCTTGTTATATGCACCCCAATACTTTTCGTATTTCGTCCTCATATCTTTTACCATATCGAGAAACATTGGTTTGGTTGACCACTTTCTTAGATGTATGTCCACATCTAAGACTTCCCTGATAAAAATATTTACCAAAGGTTTTGATGTAGCCGAAACAAGCTCTGTTTTTGTTTTGAATTTTTCAAAGAATTTCACCATTTCGGTTACAACTTCAAAGTCATAATTTTCCGGTACTCTACCGAGATCCCTTTCATATGATTTATCTGTCAAAGATACATAAACAAACAAAATTATAGTCTAAACAAAATCTTAATAATTTTGCTGAAAAGATGATATATAACTTAAAAATAAATATTACCTCTTATGCCAAATTCCGTAAATGCCTCTCGTAACTCATATGCGGACTTCAATAACTCGAAAGTCGAGTTCCGTCGAGTTCCATCGGGTAGGAGTGTCACCACATAGAAACTTCTTCGTTTGTAAGCCACAATCTTTCATCGCCTTCTTGAACTTGTTTATTCTTTGTGGTGACAATCTAATGTACCGTACCGCCTTTTGGATACACTCAACATGATAGTTTTGGTATTTTAGTCCATCCTTTACGATAAGGTTTAAAATGTGAGCCATACACCTAACTTGGAAATGCTTTCCACCCTCGTAAAGATTGGGCAACTTTTTGACCAAAAAGTCCATTGCCTTGTCGTTTGTAGCGGCGTTGTCCAAGGTAATGGTCATGACATTTTTCATTCCCCATCCACGAATACAATCGAGTAATTCTCGGCCCATATCCTCTCCCTTATGGCTATCTATCTCCCTAAAGTTTATAATTCTCTTGTGCATCATCCAATTCTCATCTATGAAGTGAGCCGTGACCACCATGTAAGTAGTCCTTTGACAAGAAGACGTCCAAGTGTCCGTTGTCAAATGTATAGCGGTCTTTGGGTTACTTAAAAATTGAAGCATTTTGGTTCTTTCTTCTATGTAAAATTTGGAAACATTTCGGGATATTGTATGTCTAGATGGCAACACAACCTTAGCATTAAGTGCATTGGTGTATTCCACAAAAGCCTCGTTTTCAACGAACTTGAAAGGTAATTCGCCTACCACAAAAAGGTTAAGTAATGCTTTTTTGATCCTTGCATCATCGTGTTTCCATGTTTTAACACTAGTATCTCCATTGACTCCTTTTTTAGATTCAATTTGGTTTGAGTTGGATCTTGTAGCTTATTCGGGTTTTTTTGACACCGATCTACGTGTTTGAGTAAACTAGAAGTCCCATTCCTTTCCACATCCGCCTTTAGTAGCCTTTCACACCATTGACATTTTCCATATCTTCTTTCCATACCATCATCTTCTTTTATCATAACTTTATCAAATGAGTCCCAACAAGAGGATGTTTCTTTGCCACTTGTTTTTTTTTTTTTTTTTTTTGTGACTTGTTTTCGTTTTGCTATTTGTTCTTTTTCGTTTGTTAACATTTGATTGATCATCTTTTGCCGAATCATCAACTAAATTGATTTGTGGTGTATCCTCAATAAATTCCTCTTCATCAACATTCGTATCCTACATTACATATAGTCGCAACAAAAATGTTTTCACAATTAATCAACAAAATATAGCAACATACTTTATAACTTTCAACAAATATTAACAAAATTCAACCAAAAAACATACCCTTACTTTACATACAATCACAATAAGTTTTTTTTACCAACAAATAACCTAAATATAACAACATACTTTATGACATTCAATAAAATTTAACAAAAATCAACAAAAAAATCATAACCCTAGTTTACATGCAATCAAAACACAAACTTTTTCACAATTAATCAACAAAATATAGCAACATACTTTATAACTTTCAACAAATATTAACAAAATTCAACCAAAAAACATACCCTTACTTTACATACAATCACAATAAGTTTTTTTTTACCAACAAATAACCTAAATATAACAACATACTTTATGACATTCAATAAAATTTAACAAAAATCAACAAAAAAAATCATAACCCTAGTTTACATGCAATCAAAACACAAACTTTTTCACAATTAATCAACAAAATATAGCAACATACTTTATAACTTTCAACAAATATTAACAAAATTCAACCAAAAAACATACCCTTACTTTACATACAATCACAATAAGTTTTTTTTACCAACAAATAACCTAAATATAACAACATACTTTATGACATTCAATAAAATTTAACAAAAATCAACAAAAAAATCATAACCCTAGTTTACATGCAATCAAAACACAAACTTTTTCACAATTAATCAACAAAATATAGCAACATACTTTATAACTTTCAACAAATATTAACAAAATTCAACCAAAAAACATACCCTTACTTTACATACAATCACAATAAGTTTTTTTTACCAACAAATAACCTAAATATAACAACATACTTTATGACATTCAATAAAATTTAACAAAAATCAACAAAAAAAATCATAACCCTAGTTTACATGCAATCAAAACACAAACTTTTTCATAATTAATCAACAAAATATAGCAACATACTTTATAACTTTCAACAAATATTAACAAAATTCAACCAAAAAACATACCCTTACTTTACATACAATCACAATAAGTTTTTTTTTACCAACAAATAACCTAAATATAACAACATACTTTATGACATTCAATAAAATTTAACAAAAATCAACAAAAAAAATCATAACCCTAGTTTACATGCAATCAAAACACAAACTTTTTCACAATTAATCAACAAAATATAGCAACATACTTTATAACTTTCAACAAATATTAACAAAATTCAACCAAAAAACATACCCTTACTTTACATACAATCACAATAAGTTTTTTTTTACCAACAAATAACCTAAATATAACAACATACTTTATGACATTCAATAAAATTTAACAAAAATCAACAAAAAAAATCATAACCCTAGTTTACATGCAATCAAAACACAAACTTTTTCATAATTAATCAACAAAATATAGCAACATACTTTATAACTTTCAACAAATATTAACAAAATTCAACCAAAAAACATACCCTTAGTTTACATATAATAACAATAATTTTGTTTTGACAAGTATTCAACTAAATATAACAATATTGTTTGTTATTTCAACAAAATTTAACAAAAAAATAACCTAAAATCGTAACCCTTACTTGAATTTCATCATCATCAAGTGCAATCCAATTAGCGATCCCGGTTTTTGATTCCATTAATTGTGAATCGAGACTTGAGAGAAACCACACTTGAGAGTTGAGACTTGAGAGAAAAGAATTGAGACTAGACTTCGAACGAGAATTATCGGTCGACTACTCGACTTCGAACGAGAATTGATGGTCAACTTCGCACGAGGGTTTTTTTGGTTTGCAAATTATCGAGAATTGAGATAGCTGCCGTATCACGTGTTATGGGATAGGGAACGATCGGTTTTGCAATTGTATAACTAGGCCGATATATGTTTTTTTTTTTTTTTTTTACCATGTCCAACCGGTCCCGGACCCGGTAAAAACTGGACCGAACCGGGTACAAAACTTAGAACCGAGAACCGACCCGGAGGTCCAAAAAAAGGTCCGGTCCGGTCCGGTTCACCGGTCCGGTCCGGGTCACCGGTCCAAACGCTCACCCCTAACAAATACTCTTGAATTCATCAATAATCGCCTTCAAGTATTCTCACTTTGTCACCTAATTACTATTGCTTCTTCACACAAGCAAATAATTTTAGATCATTTTTTGTTTATAAGAAGCTAACAAGTATGTATGTCTCCTATGAGTCCCAGTTCCAAAATGATTTTCTATAGACTTTGATTGTGTTAACCTTTCACCTTTTTATATCTTTATTAACTTCTGATTGCTGATGTGTTTCATTACAATACATACTTGTCAGCTCCTGCGATTTTACATGCAGAATTTCTGTCAACACACATACCTATCATACATACATACATACATATCTGTCATATCATGCATACTGATGTTTGTATATACTTGCAAGTTTTTAAAGCAAGGACGCACACATGAATGTAGAAGAGCAACCAGAGAAGACATACATGTTTTCTTAATTCTACCTTCATGTTGTAGTTTTTATAACAGAATACGAACAAAACCATAGAACCAAACAAGTACTTTCTAGTTATAGTTAAAAAAGAAGCAACATGAAGCAACAAGTAATCACTTTGACAGTTACTTTCACATTCACCAATGAGAGAACCTGGTTTCCTTACCCCAATTGAAATACATATTCAATATATCATCAAACCATTTTATAACTACTTTCGGTTTTTCTCCATTGAATTCAAAAAACTCGACCCTTTTCAAATCAATACTCAAGATTTCCCTTGTTTCATCTTCATCCAACCACCCGTATTCCGTCCCATCACTCCCATGAAAATCCTACATCATATCAAGCAAAACCATAAGTTTTACTTTTTCATGTGAACAGAAAAAATCTAAACTAATGTCTTTAATTCTTGAAGTATCTATTTATTAGCCCAATAGCTTTTTCATATCTCCCTCCCTATACTAATAAAAGAGTTGTTCTTTTGCCATGTGTCACCATATTAGACCTCTTAATTAATGTATTTATTAGTTACCCATTTTAAATTTATTAGACCTCCTCATTAATGTGATGTTATTTGTTAATGTATTTTCTTTACTTTAAATTTAAATTTTATATTTTATATTATTGTTTTCATTAATTCACAAATAAAAAACATCTAATATATAAAAAGAATACCATTTGATGTGAAATACCTGCTCAATGATCAACTTGAGAGACTCCAGTTTGGGATAATATTTGAGGATTCGGTTGAAGTTATCCATGGTGAAGGCATCCATAGTTGTGCTTAGCACCAAAGTCTTCAGATTAGGTAGACCAGGATCAATTGCAGCATAAATGCACTACAATAATGACAAAGATTTGATGAAAACCAATCATACTTTCAAACATATGTAAACTGTGCTGTCTGCATTAAGTCAAAAAGAAACATGCATATAGTATATTTACTAGATTAGATCTTTTTCTAGTGAAGTGAAAAAGAAACACCACTTAAAAAGTTAATGTTCTGATCTTAATTTAATAGAGTTACCTATTCACATCTTCACTCATAAAAATGGATGCTTAGTTAGGGTCAAGCATAACAATTGTTGCTAGATATTTTGCGATCAATATCCTCAAGTTTTGACCTTATCAGATTTGGGTGAACTCTTTTATAAGAAAGGTGGCAAAGACCAATTGCATAAATTACACTGCAAAAAAGCTTTAAAGAAACAGAAATGAAAATTTGTGGATAAAGAAAAATAATCATCTACCTTAATGAAGAAGTAAGGGTCGATACACAAATATTCCACACCAGAAATTCCAGGAAACAACACAGACATGTTGTTCCCTTCCGATTTAGGCTCAATCTCAGCTTTCTTTAAGGAGTCTAGACATTCAAAGAAATAATTATAAGCTATATAACCTCTTTAACTCCAAATCCACCAGTTTTGGGCAACAAATCTTAACGCCACCACACAGACCACCATCATCATCATTATCATCGTACGTGTTAACAATGCTAAGCTTCTTGAGCTTCAGACATGAAATACAAAGAAGATCAAGTTTGCATAGCACGCAGTCGTCTAAAGTCAGATCCTCAAGCAGGGGGCAGCTTTCTAGAAAAGCTTTTACCAAATTGCCGTCTTCCAATAAGTCAACACTGGTCAAATCAAGAACCCTAAGTGCCGGAAACCCCATGATATTAGGCAACCTTAGACCATGATGGCCCAAACTCAACCTTAATGACTCCAACGAAGGGGAAATCACAAGGCAATTGGGCATCTCGATATCCCCTGTAGTCTAAAATGTCAACTCAAGTTTTTTGACATTTCTCTTAACGGCGGCATGAATCCATCGCCATGCTGTCGATATACTGTAATGATCCGAACAATATAAACGAAAACAATCCAAATCAGCGGATCTGTTTACCAGAACCCAATACACTAACTCTTTGAACTCGCTTTTTTTTATCTTATCCCGTGGCGTACATCTAAGTATAGCGATGGAATTGCAGTCCACAAATTTCTCCATCTTCTGGACAAAATGCTGCTTCGAATTGCTTCTTCTGTGGATGGAACACGTGAAAGAATCAAAAGAAGAATAGCATCCGGCATGCTACTGATAAAATCGGTCCCATCCGCGGGTTTTGATGTCTTTGGTGGCTCGGATTTCTTCATACCCTAAAAATTTATTCAGAGAAGCAAACACATTGTCATTCCATCTTCTCTACAGAAATAAAGAAGCGAAGACAGTGAGTGAGGGGTTAGGGTTTTAGCATCATACTATGCGTCTTTCAAATATTAGCGGAATTTACATATATTTTTGGTAAATCTTTAAAAATGTTTTAAAATTTTAAGAAAATTTAAACCCATAAAAACCGAAAATATTTATTCACTTTGTTCCTATATTACCTATTCGGTATTAACCCGTCTATGTGGCATGCCATTTTGGAAGAGATGTTAATGGAGCATGCCACGTCAACCCAATTAATTACACTAAAAAATCGGATTTTTATGGCGAAAAGGAATTGACTCTATTAGGTCCGTATCAACCCACATGCATATGACATACAAGCATACCAACAAGAGTTGCGAAGACTCACCTATTGTCCTACAGTATATTGAGAAGTCTCATATTGTCGACGTAATCAACAGCTTACAACTCTCACAGCCAACGAACGGATGCTAAACACCTCCAAATAAGCCACACAAGGTAAACCCTTAGTCTATCTTCTAAAATTAGAAATTTAACCAAAATTCAATCCATGCCAAAAGTCAACAGTCAAGATAAAAAAATCGGATTTTTGTAGGAGAAAAGGAGAAGAAGAGGGTCAAACTCGGGACCTATGTCTCCCAATATGCGCCTCTTATCAATTGAGCTAGAAGTTTTTATTCGAATTTACTCTTAACAACTAAATATAATATCTATAAAATCATCAAGTGAGTTAGAAGTTTTTCATTGATTTGACTCTTAACAACTATATATAATAGACAAAATTACATAAATTATCCTTATGGTTGACAAAATAGACCAACTTTAGTTCTTATAACGAATTGTTTGCATAGATAATCCTTGTGGTTTCAAAATATTGCAAAGATAATCATTTTGATTAATGATGTTAACTTTTTCAGTTAAGTCTTTTATAAAATGACATATATGCCCTTCCTATCATAGGGACCGTTCATGTAATTTGTTCATGTTATAGGGACCATTTATGTAAATTTGCCTATTATTTATTATATTCTTATTTTATTTTATTTATATTTTTTGTGAATTAATTTTTTTAACGTTTTGTTCAAATATAATGTTTAATTTTTTATATATTTTTTCGCTTATATTTTGTTGATGTTTTTGTTCAAATAATTTTCTTAAATTTTTTGAAGTTTTATTTGAATACATTTGCTAATTTTTTTTTATGTTTTGTTTGAATACATTTTATTAACTTTTTGTTTATTATAGGGAAATTGAATAATCTAACCATTTATTTATTATATTTTATAAAAAATAATCACTTAGTCAACAATGCATGTATTTCGAGACGTACTATTAAACATGTCAATCTGGTATGGTATTGGGGTCCCCAGTGCAAGACATCCATTCTGTATTATGTTTTGGACTTCTTCGTTCCAGGTTATTCCAACTTCGAAAAATATCTTCTACCGGTGAATAACTCCAACATTTATGAGTATGTGTCGTTTATATAATTATATGTTCAAAATAAAGTTGAAGTGTTTTTTGTAAGATTCTATGAGATTATATGGAAATAATTCGTTGTGCTTCGATTTCGGTGGTTAATTGTGATTAATTGGAATCACATATAATTATAAAAAAATTGAAGCAAAACGAATTATTTCTAGTTCCGTACTGCTGTAAAAAACAAAATAATTCCAATTCATCACTATTAACCTCCGAAATCTAATAAATGAGCAAAATGGCTATTGGCATTACATCACATGTGAAGTATGTATTTGTATATAATCGTACTTAGCTTGTGTAGTTTTAATTCACAAATTTCCCCTTATCGTAAGATTGCATTTTTTTCAAAAATAAAAACGTACTTTGACTTTTATAAAATTTTCCAAAGTCAAACTCCAACTCTAACTTATATAAAATACTTCAAAACTCTTCTTTTATTAACCTATTTAAAATATTCAATTTCTCACTTAGGATATACTTCAACCTTAAGATCCCATATGCTACAGCTTACATGGTCGCCTAAAATATGCAAAATTCGTTTTCTACCCTTAAGAGTTGATGGATAATTACATTTTTAAATCGTTAACCCAATTAAATGAAACTTATATGTTCAGTCAACCCAACAGACACGTCCTATCGTTAAAATCGGATTTTAGAGATGAATACTCTTGAATTTCTAAACCATTAGCTTCAAATTATGTAACTTTGTCTCCTCCATGGCCACTGCTCTTTGACAGCTTACAATTGTTTCTTCACACATGCAAAGAAAGTGAGATCATTTCTGTCCCAAAATGATTTCTATAGAGATCAACTCTTCACCTCTCTATCCCTTTAATAACTTCCTTTTCTTATCGACCCCTTTAATTAACTTCTAATTGATGGATATGTTTCAAGATCATACATACTTGTGAGCTATCTGTCATATGTACATACCTATTATACATACGCATACATGTCATACATACATACCGAAATAATTATATTTCAAATATACAAATTTGTCATATGATACATACTGATGCTTGTATTTACTTTTGCTAGGTTTTATAGAAAGGATGGATGGATGGATGTAGAAGAGTGACTAGAGAAATAAGGCTCAGACTATCGACTACTTAGGATGAAAAACTATTTATTTCATTTTTTTTTCTTTTTCTCTTGGTGCTAAACTATTAATTTCATTTTTGTGGTGGTGCAAATGTTATGTTCAAATAGTGCAGTTGGTTTTACACACCCATCTTGCAATTGGTTGAATTGAACAATGAGGTAGGTGATGTTGCAATTGTTGTTGCTGTGGTTACATACATGTTTTTGGTTTCACATATCGATGTTGCAATCGGTGGTGTTGTGTTGTAGTTTTTATAGCATAATATGAACAAAACTGTGGAATCAAACAAGTATTTTCTAGTAATAGTTCAAAATGGAGCAACATGAAACAAAAATTCAAATCCAAAAAACATCCACACAAGACCTTGGAATGTAGTCATCACCCCAACACATGCATCAGTTTGACAGTTACTTTGATAGTCACCAATAAGAGAGCCTAGCTTTGTCACCCCAACTGAAAAACATATTTAATGCATCTTCCAACCAATACTCTAGTTTCGGCTCTTCTCCATTGAATTTAAAAAACTCGAGTCATTTCACATCAGGAGTCAAGATTCTCCTTGTTTCATAATCATCCAAATACGCATATTTTCCATGAAAATCCTAGGTCATCAAACAAAAGCATAAGTGTTACATATGAGGTGCTTAATATAACCTTTAGCAACCCATTTATAATTAAAAAGGCCGAAATTTCCGCCTCTATGCCTAGGATAGGAATTTAAAATGCATAAGTCACCAAGGAAAGAGTGAAAGTGAGGTATTGTGTTTGAAAATGTGATACATAAAAAGAATACCAATTGATATGAGAATACCTGATCAATATTCAACCTGAGAGACTCCAGTTTGGGACAATATTTGAGAATTTGGTTGAAGTTATCCATGGTGAAGGCATCCATAGTTGTAATTAGCCCCAAACTCTTCGGATTAGGTAGAGCCGGATTACAAGCAGCAGTAATGCAGTATAATTATGACAAAGATTTGATGAAAACTAATCATACTTTTATATATATATACTTATTTAGAAACAAAACCAAAATGAAAAATTGACAAAAAAGAGAATAAGCATCTACCTCAAGGAAGAAGTTGAAGTTGATAGACAAATACTCGACACTAGAAATTCCCACAACAGATATGGTGTTCCCCTCCATTTTGGGCTGAATCCAAGCTTCCTTCAAAGAGTCTAGACGTTCAAAGAAAATATTATAAGCTATACGACCTCATAAATCCAAATCCACCAGTTTTGGGCAACAAATCTTAATGACATCACACGTACACTCATCCTTGTTATTTTCAATTCTCAGCGATTCTAGCTTCGGACATGAAATATAAAGAAGATCAAGTTTGTTCATGAAGCATGATATCAAACTCAAGCCCGAAGGGCAGCTTTCCAAAACCATTATACCAAACCATTTTAAAGGAAATGGAAAGAAAATTTTGACCAAAAGAAAGGGAGGGGAAGGAAAATGTTCATTATACCGTGTTTCCGAGTTCGAATGAAATGAAAAGAAATGAGAGGATAATTTTTTAAGTTTTTGTGTTCCCGAGTTAGGAGGAAAAAGAAAATAAATTTTGAAATTTTCCTTACCCTCACTTTCTTCCCAAATCCATTCAATTTGGAAGGAAAATATGACTACAAAATCCTTCCCCTGCCTTCACTTTCCTTCCATTAATGAAAGTGAACACGATTTTCCTTCAACACCCCTCACTTTCCCTCGGTATCCTCCCATTTCGAACAAGGTTGTGCTAGAAACCCCGTAATATTAGGCAACCTTAGACGACGTGCCCCCAAATACAACTTTAATATGTCCAAGGATCCGGAAGTCACAAGACAATGGGGCATCTCGACATCCTCTATATTATTTTTAGGGCAAAACGATAAGTCAAGTTGTTTGACATTGCTGGTAACGGCGATATGAATCCATCGCCCTACTGTCGACATACTGTAGTAATCATCACAATCTAGATCGAACCAATCCAAATTGACGGAAATGTTTGCTAAAACCCAATATACACTCTTTGAATTTGCTTTTTTGAAGTTTTCTCGGTCTTTGGATCCTCGAAAACAGTATATGTCAAGAAACAGAATTGAAGTCCACAGGTACCTCTATCGTCCGGACAAAATGCTGCTTCAAATTACTTCTTCGGTGTATCGAAGACAAGAAAGAATCGAAAGAAGGATGCCATTCGGCATGCTACTGATAAAATCAACCCTATCTTCGTGTTTTGATGCCTTTGGTGGCTCGGATTCCTTCATGCCCTTTCTTCTTTTGGTGGTGTCAATGGAAATTCAGAGAAACAAATTGTCAATCGTAGTTTCAGGGTGTGTTTGGATAGTTTTGAAAAAATAAGTAAATAAAAGACAAAACTGTACAAATGGTCCCTATGGTATGTCAACATTTGTCACTTTGATCCAAAAAGGTTTGAACTAGCACCATAGGTCCAAACTTTTCATTTTTTTTTTTTTGCAGTTTGATACAATTTACTATTAATTTTTTCATATTGATGATTTTGTCCTTAATTTTTACATTTTCATTTTTTTTATTTAAAGATTTTTTCAGATTAAAAGAAAAAAGAAAAATTTTCTTTTCTATTTAATTTATATAATTTTTATAATAAAATCTCTCTCTCTCTCTCTCTCTCTCGATCTCTCTCTCGACATGTGAGAAGAAAATCACCCCATTCTCTTCTTCCATGTCTCTTTTCATTTCATCTGCAACTTAAACAATACACATAATCCACCCAATACACACTTCAGTTTGATCTCCCTTCTTCGTTCGTCATTTTCTATGTTTTTGTTAGGTTAAAAAGCTTAAATCAGCTTTAATTAGAAAAGCATAGAGTGATCTAGATCAAGACCTAGAAAGATCCCCAAATTAAAATGATGAAACACAACAACGAACCTTGAATTGGGGACTCTCACTTTGATTTGAAGATGTTGGAGCCGGTATGGTAGGTTTTACGAATAGTTGAATTAGTATCAATTAATGTCCGATGAAGTGGGTATCTTAGCAGCAGCAAGGTGCTAGATCGGCTCTACCCTCCTTCCTCTCACATGCATATCGACTTTGAACAACAGGTATGTATATGTTTTGTCCGAACGGGAAGCAGCACCATACACACACATTCAATTTGTGTTGATAACAAATAAAGTGGATGAGCACGATTTGGTGACGATGATATGAAGATGTATATGGCTTTTTCATTTCCTGGTTATTACTCATGGATAAATTGAAACCAGTAAGGGAGAAAGGAGAAAGGAGAAAAGAAGGGGATTTTTCATTTTATGGTTATCTCTGTATCTACAAAAACATGTATATCAGGTTTCACCATCCTTGTTGTGTATGTTGAAGAGAGAGAGAGAGGGTGAATCAAATTCGAGGAAACACAGCAGGTGGCATATGGAGATGATGGTTTTCGAGTTTGAAATAGTGAGAAAGAGTGAGGGGGACAACCGGTCTCCGACGACTAACAAATCAGAAGGATCAAGTCGTATCAGCAGTCGATTGTTGGGTGTTTGGCAGGTATCGATTAACATAAGGAAAGGAAAAACAAAAAGGATGAGGGTTGTGCCTTTTCGGTGGCCTTGATCTCCACTTTGTTCATCTACGGGGTTGTAGAGATCAAAGGGGATCACATAAATCAAAAGAGGGGTTTGGGGTTTGCTAATCGACAGTGAAGGGAAATTGCCTCCTCTTTGGGGACCGGAGACTCCATCTCCGATGGCAGGCTTCACAGAGAGAGAGAGATTGAATTTTCTATTTTTTATGTTATAAAAATTATATAAATTAAATAGAAAAGGAAAATTTTCTTTTTTCTATTTTCTTTTAATGTGAAAAAATCTTTAAATAATAAAAAAGTGAAAAAGAAAAAAATAAGGGTAAAATCGTCATTATGAAAAATTTAATAGTAAAATTGGACCAAACTCGTAAAAAATGAAAAGTTTGGATCTCTGGTGTTAGTCCAAACCTTTTTGGATCAAAGTGATAATTTTTGACAAACTATATGGATCATTTGTGCAGTTTTGTCAAAATAAAAAATAAAAAATGATGAAATTATAGTAAAAGAGTCAACGGGTTGTTAATTTCTAGTAATTTATGGAGTAAATTACACGAATGGTTCCTATAGTTTAGGGTAATTTACGTGTTTGGTCTCTAACTTATTTTTTAACTTAGAATGTCTCTATTGTTTGTTTTTGTTACATGCTTGGTCCATACTGTTTGTTGTTTGTTTTTGTTACGTGCTTGGTCCATACTGTTTGTTGTTGTTACACTTTTGGTCAATGTCTTATCTAAAAAGACTATTATTTAAATAAAGAATAATGATGGGGTATGTAAGGTAAGGTGAAGGGGTGAGGTTGGGGCGTGTTTATTTAAATAAATTAAAAAATCAAGTACAAAATAGTATTTTTAAGTAAAACAGGGACCAAACGCGTAACGGAAACAAACAGTAGGGACCTTCCGATTAAAAAAAATAAGTTAGGGATCAAATACGCAAATTACCCTAAACCATAGGGACCATTCGTGTAAGTTACTCTAATTTACGATTTTTTTTCTTTTCTTATAATCTCTAAAAATGACACATATATTTTCACTTTTCATTTTCTAATTATTATTACTTTTTTTTTAATTTTAAATTTTTATGATGATTAATAGGCATTTAATAAGAACTAAGGGAGATGTCTGTGCGTTGCACGAGTCTAATGTTTTTGCTTTTTTTTACCCATAACAACAATGGACTTATATTTGTATACACATAACTGCAACATTTTTACAACATTTTTCTCATAATAGCAATGTACTTATATTTCTTTACATAAAAAATGAGTTATGTTATATAGCCATGATAATGGCTTCATATCATTCTATGGCCTTTGAATACCGGATTTGTTGAGCCCCTTACAGAAAGAGTTGTCACTTTGCAACTCATGGAAAATATCAGTAAAAATCTTCAGAAATGGATGCAAACATTATAAAATTGTCATTTAGAAAAGCTATAGCTACCAATATCATAAAATTAGAGATAGTGAATCCTAAAGCAAATTGGATAACTAAGTTTCCATAACTAAAAACTTACATAGTGAATCCTAAAGCAAATTGGATAACTAAGTTTCCATAACTAAAAACTTACATATGTGAAATCCTAAAGCTGAGAACTTATTTTAGAAATGAATTTGTTCTCGTGTAAGGTCCAAGATTCAAATTCCATAAAAGAGACATCCAATTTCTCTTGAAATCCTTTTATCCTTTGTTGTAAGGAAGGCTACAAAATGGATACAGAAACTGGAAATTAGTCTTATTTAAACAAAAAAAAGTATGATTACTTGATTGTAATTTCCTGTGAATTCTGTCAAGTTTTGAGAGAAAATGACAAAACGTTAAGACGTAGGATAAATTTTGGATGAAAAAGTGTGAAGAATAACAAAACTCACATATTGTTGAGATTCATATAACAAACCGAAAAGTAATATGGTATCATCGTCAAAATATTTAATATCCCAGAATCCAGACAATAAATATTTGCCCCCAAAAGATCACTGAATTTGCCAACCTCCGTAGACGAAAACCAAAAAAAGTTAAAAATCCCTATTCTAATAAATGAATAATTTTAATCTTTTTTTGCCAAGTGTCATTCTAATACAACTCCTCATTAATATGATGTCAGGTGTCATGTAGATATATTAGACAACTCATTTCAAAATTCAAAATTATATTTTCTAATTATATGTTAAATTTGAAGTTATAATAACTTTAAAATTTTAATATATCTCTGACTTAAAATTTTATTTAAAATGACTTATTTAAAATAATTGATTAATAATTATAAATTTTTATTATAAAGTTTAATTAATTTTATAATCGTGGTTTCCACGGGTTATAAACTAGTTAACGAATATGCACGTGAATCTGTCGTAGTTTTTGGTTTTGGTGTTCTACATTTTATAATTTTATCTATATTCGATACATTATCCTAACTACAAGGATAAATCGAAAGAAATCACAACATATTTTACTCTTTTTAACTATAAGGTAAAATTGTTAAAAAGATGTGTCATTAAAAATCAGATAAATAACATAAGGGTTATGTTGCAATTTTTCATTCCTCTCAATGATAGAATGAAATAAAAAAAACAATGAAAATAACAAAATGGAATGAATCACCTTTCTTAAGGAATGGTCCATTCCATTCTATCAGGGAAAACATACTTTAACTATAAGGGTAAAATTGTCAAATACATGTATCTTGTTAATCAAATCAAAGGATCTAATTTTTGTCACCATTTTCAGTTAGCTACGTTATTAGTATTGTTATTGGGAGAAGGATACATAAAAAAGTGAAAACTATAAATGGAAAATGAAAGGAAGAAAACAACTGGAATACAACTAAATTAAGGGCATTAAATTGATTTGTTAACCTTCAAACATACAAAAACCATCATCAAATGTTATTAATAGTCGATCACTAAATGGATTCAATGCTAGACTCCAAACAGGATATGGAAATTGATATTTTTCTCAAATGAAACTGATTTGACCATGGATTGAATGGGGTATTTGGCTCAAATGGCCCTAAAATGGAGTCTACAAGATGCATGGGGGTCTTATGGCAATAAAGCTAGCACATTTATGCCATAGGAACCCTTAATGGTTCCAGGTTTGACTTCATACCCCTTTTTAACTACAAAATCTTGAATATGGCAATTCTAAGGCTTAGAAAAGGTAGAAATGAACCCTAACTAGAGATCTAAGAGATAAATGGTCAAGGTTTCAACTTAATACCTCAAATGAGCTAGAAATGTGCCAAAACCTCTGGATCTTCTTGCTTCCTCTTGATCTCTCAAGTGTAACGACCCAAAATTCAAGACCAAAATTTTCTTTTAATAAAACATTACTTTAACCAAAGTCATCATTCCAAAACATAATCAAAGTATTAATTTTCAAA